TATTATGCTTATTTATGCACAGATATATCTATATTATTATTATTATATATATATATAGATTTTTTTTTTTTTTTTTTTTTTTTTTTTTTTTTTTTTTTTTAATAATTTTTTTTTTTTTTTTTTTTTGGAAGCCTATGAGGCTTAAAGTGCCCATTTTTACTGTCAAAACTGTTCTTAAATACAGTATTACTGCCTTCAAGTCTCAACTACCAATTGCCCAAATTTGTAAAGACTTATTTTTACTATTATCACAGCTGTCACCATACTGATTCTCAATGAATAGCTATAAATTTGCTACTCAAACCTGCATGATCAGCAAACTGCTTTACTATTAAGCCTATTGCCAAGACTGAGACTTTACTCTTTTGTTTTAATAAAAATAAAGGTGTTTTTGGGCTCATCACTAGTCAGATTTCCAAGTATTACTTCAAAAGCCTAACTGGGCAGTATCTTGATTTTATATTCTCTATTGGAATAAACTTTTCATTTCTAAACTAATCAGTCTTCGATTTGCAAATTCAAATCCACAGAGTTTACTCATCTTTCTACCTTATATTCTTCATAGTTAATTTTTCTAGTTCTCCTGGTCTCTACATTGTCCTTTATTCTAATGCTATTAGGGCTATATCTCTTCTATACATAAATTCTTTGCCCAAAGTGGTGGTGTGTCAATATAATGTCTTAATGCCCTAACTGAAAGTAGGTCTTGCAGCCAGTCTGATGTCTTGTTTTTTAAAACTTCCTTTTTTACTGTTTTTAAAACCTGCATTACTACAAAAGATTTCTTAAAATCCTTATTTTTTTCAAAGTGCAGATTATTTATTATTATCTGAAAAATCTGAAAAGTTTAAGATGTCAGGCCTATTATATCTAACTATATAATAAATGCCAAAATCCTATCCTTCTGTGGGTTTCTTATGTTCAAATCAAATCTCTTACAAAATTTTTCATATAACTTCTAATATTTTGCTAATCTAGCTCTATAGAATGGAAATACAGATTCCTTTACTAAAGTTTGGCTTTCTGAAACAGGTTTTTTATAGCCAAATGTGCACTGTTAAGAATTTCTATTTTGGGTTCTTCTAGAGCTTCACAAACCCTAACAGGCCTGATACAAACATTACTCACAGCTCTGGCAGAGGCAATGCCTTTCAATTTAACTCCAGAAGTAACAGCTATTACTTGGCTAATGGCTATTTTGATATCACTAATATCATCTTTGCTTTGCAGCACTTTAAATAATGAAGCACTTTTTATACTAAATGCAAGAGTAGGCATATATAATTTATCTTACTTTTCCATCTTTGAGTAAAGCAATTTATTGCCTCTGCTCTAAGACAGAAGTGATAGCTGTTGAACTTTTGTAGTTTCATGTTTATATAAAAAGCCATGCAGTCAATTGTATGTGGTCCAAAGGTTGCTTATATCTCTTAAAACACTTCTTCTTTGATGTATCAGTCTGATAAATCAAAGGCTCATATTCAAAAATCTGCTAGATTCTCTGCTAATAATACCTATTTTATTTCATTAATCTAAATATCATTTTTTAAACAAGTTTGCCACAACTTTTTGTAGACCTTCTTTTGCTATTATCATTTGACTTCTAACCTCATTATTGCTAGGGCTGTGCAGTTGTCTATAAATATCAAGATCCAAGACTCTTTCAGTAAGTTGGCAAAGCTTTCGGGCTTCAATAAAACTAACTCGAACTCTAACTTTGTAATATCCTAACAATCTGATTTTTTTATCCAATTTCTGAATGCCATTATGTTTTTCAGTTTTGCACATCAACCAGTTATAGAGTTATCTATAAACAAACTCCTTATTAAGAATAGCCTTTAGGCCAGTTGACCATTGTACCTTTTCAGATTTCTTAATAACTAGTGTAAGTTCATTTTTGCCTGATTTGATAACCAAACTTTTTTGTCCTATTCTTTAGGTTTTCTGTTTGTTATGTCTAAAATGGAGTAAAACTTCAAGCATTTTAACTGTGCTAGAGCAAAAGCTATTACAAGGCATTGGACTTTTCTTATAATTTTTGTCAACTGTTTGGCTGTTATCTAATTTACATCTGTTAGTGCTTTTAGGCATGTCTTTGTTGCATCCAATTTTAACTCTAGAATAATTACTTGTACTTTCTCTGTAACTACTAATAATCTGTAAAATTTTATTATTCTTAATAGTATTAGGCTACTCTTGTTCTAGGCAAGGACAAAGCCACAGTTCTTTATATCTAATAGGATGGTCTCATCTCAGATTCTTTTTAGGACACTGCCAGAGATGCACTATCCAGATATCATCTACAGTGAGTAATCAGTGCCCAAATTATCTTCAAAAAGATCCAGACTGCCTGTGAAAGGCTGAATGGCAATACTCAGTACTAATACCAAGTTCTTATACATAAAACTTCAAAAAACAGTAAGCTTTCTTGTTCATTAATATATGATAATAATTATCTCTTAAGTCCAACATTATCATTGACTAATTTTTTCTAATTGACCTTAGTAAGCCATCTAGTCTCTCAAACTAAAAGATTTTTCTGGCAGTCTTTTATTTAGTCTTCTCAAATGAATTACTAGGCAGAAACATTTCAGCCTAGTTTTGGCACCAAGAAGACTAGAGATACTTTTAGCAGAAAAACTAGGCAAACATTATTGTGCCCACTTTTTCTATTGCATCTAACTTCTTTAACTGATGAATTTTCTCTTCTAGCCATTCTTTTTGGTCTGAAGTTATTGTGTAAAGTTTGTGAATCTTGCTCTTGGCAAGACTTTATACATCTCTTGAAAACAAAAGTACCTAATTTTTTAGCCAACAAGCTATGACTAATGGTGGGTTTATCTTTTTTATCAAATATCTTACTGCTACTGATTCATGAATTTTCTCAACTTCTCTGCAATATTTTATATTGTCCATCTTCTTGCTCTTCTCTTTGCTTTTTCTTTCTTAAGTGTAGTCAACAACTATTCTTGTTCTGAAAAAATCTGTTTCCTCTTGAACTGCCTTTTGCTAATCTTAAGATATAAACTGATGTCATATTAACTGCACTCCCACAAGAGTAACATGTAAACTGCCTACTTGATGCTTTGTTGAATAAGTTCTAGTAGGTTGGGCCCAGATTCGAAAACATATTTTGGTTTTGGTTTTGATTCTAATTTTATTAAGTATAAAGAGATAAGAGATGCTAAATATATAAATAGAGTGAGGGGTAAGGTGCATAATAGTTTGACCTTAAACTTCAATTCCAATTTCTTCATTCTTTGGTTTGCTAGCCTTTTCAGTTATGTAGTATGAAGTATTCTTCTTGTGATCTTGCTTGCTTTCTTTCTTTTACTAACAACTTCTTAAATTTATCACTCTTACTAGTTATTGGTTTTGGAATTTTTACTGTCACATTTCAACTTTTTTCTTAGCCACTCTCAAGATAAATGCCCTCAGTCTTAATTGTTTTTGTACTTCCATTACCTTTTTCTTTGAATTTTTCTAAATTGTTTTTTGAAGCAGAACAACTGCATTATACACTGTATTATACTCATATTGGTCTCATGTTCTTTTGAACTTTTTTTTTGGAAAGTTTGCTTTTATTACCTTTGTCCTATCTATCTTTATCATCCATTATTGTAAATTCCTATCCAAGACCTTGTAAAAGATTTTCTAACTTTTCTTTAATCCTTTCCTTCAATCTATTTTTCATATAAGTGAAAAAGGCTTTACTTTGATTGTTAAGTTCTTTCTGCAAAGAGTCACCTTTTTTTTTATAATTATTGCCAAAACTTCAATATATTGATTTTTCTTTTCCATTTCCTAGTTGTTTTAGGTCTCTTTCAGGTTTTCTAGATTCTTTTTCAAGCTCATTTCTGAAGTTTTCTAGAAGATTTACCAGTTCTATTTTACTACCATCTATCTGTATATTGCACTTCTGACACATGGCTCTCAAATCCAATATCTGTAGCCAATTCCAGTCAACTATGCAGCTGTTTTCTTGTTGTAAGGTAGCTGTCTTACTACTGACTTTGATTGGCATTTCTTAGGTTTCTTGAGTTTCTTTTGTTATAAACAACTTGCTAAAAACCTGGTTCTAAAAAAAAAGCTAGCTTGTTCTTGCAATGTAGCTGAACACAAAGTCGAGCAGAAAATTCAAAAACAAAGAATTTACAAATCATCAAGTTAATCAATACAAATACAGTGACCAGCAGTCCTGTGACTCACAATAATGTTGCATCTTGTAACTTTGTTCATGAGTTGATCAAAAGCACTCTCTTTTGTAATTCTCTCAACCAAAATTCACAGAAAGCAAAAACAAAAATAACATCAAAATATACAAGCAAACAGCACTTAGAGCATTAAGAAGAAAAATAAAAGCTTATAAAATACAGTTAACCAAATTAAAAAACTAAAAATAAATTAGAGCAGTAGCAAGTAACAGTAAGAAAACAAAATTTTTACTAAAATTTAATAAACAAAGTTAACATATAGAAATAAAACAGAATAGGTTAAATAACTTCATACAGAGCTCTTAAAAGAAAAGTTTTAGTACAAAGGAAAACAAGTTTTTTATTAATATGCTAACATAGATATAGCTCTCTTTAACAAAGTTTTTTGATTGTTTTTAACTTGGCTTGAAAGCTCGTGAAAATTTTTTTGTTTTCTGTAAAAGCAGAAAATTATTCTAGATTCTGAAAACAAACAATCAGAACATGTAGTTAGCTAACAACACAAAATAACAACAAACATATCATATTATATATATGATAATATTATCCTAATTAGAAAATAGTAAATAAAAATTTTTATGTATATTGCTAAACAAATAAATATATAATAAACTAATATAAAAATAGAAGTACAATGCAGACTAGGCCTTTCAAAAAACACAGAATTAATTCAATATATAAGAGTTTTAGTGATATAAATAGAAGATATATAGACAGCAAAATATTAGATGAAATTTTATCAAATAAATTGATAATCCAAGCAATTTAGAATATATAATGAAAGATCTCACAATTTATGATTCAAAAAACATCACAATAGATGACATACTTCTTTATAGTTAAGTACTTGAAACACTCAAAAGAGCAAAAACCTTTTTAGTATCAAGAAATATAATAGAAAAATAGGCAAGTAATCTGTTAACAGTAAATTAAAACCCAAAATCTTTTAACTACTTGTTGAACATAAAAAAAGAATAAATACTAAAAGAGGAAGCAAAAATAGATGAAATAGAAAGAAATGAAAATACTAAAACATAAATATAGTTTATATTAAAAAAAAAGACATCAATATAAAATTAATAGTGATGAAGAAGTCAACAAGAATCTAAATATAGCCATTAGTCAAATGCAAAATCTTAGCATATTAGCATTATTATACCAAGGAACCAATAAAATATCTAAATAAGAAAAGAAAAAAGTTAACAATAATAGCAGATGTAAACAAAAATAACACAAAAGAGAAGAAAGTCAAAAAGAACCAAAAGAGTGCATTAGATCTTCCATGACAAATTGAAAGAAAAAAAATAGAAGTTCAAGATAAAAAAAGTACAGAGTCAATAACAGAAGAAAATAATGAAACACCAATACTTATAGATATAATAGAACATAGTCAATAGTCTCCAACAAATCATATATGTGATAAAAGCAGATTATTCAAAGCAAATATGCCAATATATATAATACTAGGTACAAATAAAAAAGAAAAATTAAAATATATACAATAAATTCTTCATAGCAATTATTATATTAAAACAATTAAAAAGATGTTTAAAAATGAAAACAGCTGAATTAAAGTAGATTTTGACTGTGAATTCAGTAAAGACAGCAATGGATAGGATTAAGAAAAAAGAAGAAAACTGGCTAAAACTTATTCTAAAAGAAACAAAAAGCCAAGAAAAAAAACCAAGCTGCCAAACAGTAAACAAAACAGAAGAGACAAGAATAAACTCAAAGAACACAAGAAAATTAGTGAAAAAAGAAATAATAAAGACATGTACCTAGCAGAGAATAAATCAGAGTTATACATATACCTAACAATATAGGATCTATCAGCAAACATCAATGCAGAAAAAGTAGAATATATGTATAGAAGTCTTAAAAAACTAAAGTAAAATGCATTAAAAGATCCAAATATAAAGCCTTATCTATAGTTAGAGTAAAAAGTATAAAAGAAGAAAACATACTATGGTCCTTACCAATTAGCATACACAGATTGGCAAAAGTAACCATAAGTAATAAAGACTTCAACCAACATAATTCACAAAACCAATTTACTGCAAAAATATTAGAAGTTCTAAGTGATGTATTAGAAGTTTTACTATTGTGATACTTGAAGAAAAAGAAGCAAAATCAGTAAGAAGTTAAAGAAAACAATTAGAATCTCAAAGTAAATTCTATATTATTAAGAATAATTTACTTTACAAACAAAACCAAAGAAAACAGAAGATCTACTAATTACTTAAAATAATCCAAACACATGAAATAAAACCAATTCTCTACTTAATATACAATCATCTAATTGGAGCACATCTTGGAACAGATAAGATGTTTGACAAAATTCAAGACAACTATTATTAGTTATACATATTTTTTTTTGATATTAAGGTGAGACCTTGCTCATATCTTTATTGGTAGTTTTTAAAGTTAGTAACTTCATAGAGTTACTATATACAGAAATATTTCTATATATAAATGCTATGCCAAGGCCAACACTTGCAGTTAGAGCTAACTGTTAAACTGCTAACTATATATAACTAACTTAAGTACAAATAAGAAGAAAACTACATTCAAGAG